ACTTTGACATTTTTGAAGAATAGAGTCTCCTCCTCTGACCACTTAAAAAAATAGAACATTCTCCATTTGTGATTTTGGCATACTTTTTTCTTTTTCTCTTTGTTTGTTTTGGTTTGGTTTGATTGTTTCTCTCCCCTCCTCCCCCCCCCTAAAAAATTAAGTAACAACAGTGATACAGGCGGCTCTGTGTTACTGATTTTATTGGAAATGAAAATGGGTTTTGCATTTCACCGTTTACCAGGATGTTGATGTTGGTTTTGGTAAATAGTCTAGTGTTCAAAGAGTTGCCTTCCGCTCCTGTTTTACATAAAATTGTATTAGAAACAGCTGCCGAACTTTGTCAAACACCTTTTAAGTTTCTATTTACCTAAGCCTATGGAGTTTTTCTTCTCACTTATGTTGACAAACTCCTTATTATTATTATTATGTTGTTGTTGTTGTCAATTGTTGGCAAATTCTCTAATGTTGATCGACCTAGGCTTGCATTCTTGGAATGAACCCTACTTGTAATTTATTTAATACACTGATTGATTTACTGACTAACAATTTATCATTTCTGCATCTATATAAGAAATTGGTCTACAGTGTTTGGAGGACTATGCTCTTTATCGGTTTAGGATTTGGGGTTTTCATTTTACTGTTTTGTTTCCTTCTAATCTTTATTTTCTGTTCATCTTATTACTTTGCCTAGTTCCTCCAGTGCACACTGGACAGAATGATGGCAGCAGGCGTTGTTGTCTTGCTCCCAGTTTTAACGGATGTTTATACGTTATATCATTGAGCATAATATTTTCAGTTGGTTTTGGGGGATACTTTTGGGGGGTTAAGGAATTTCCCTTTTATTCTCTGGTTTTTAAAAAAATACATATTTTATTGATTTTTACAGAGAGGAAGGGAGAGGGATGGAGAGTTAGAAACATCAATGGGAGAGAAACATCGATCAGCTGCCTCCTGCACACCCCCTACTGGGGAGGTGCCCGCAACCAAGGTACATGCCCTTGACAGGAATCGAACCTGGGACCTTTCAGTCCGCAGGCCGATGCTCTATCCACTGAGCCAAACCAGTTAGGGCTAGTCTCTGTTTTTATAGAGTAGTTTTGTTCTTATATTTTTAAAAAAATTAAATTTATTGGGGCAACATTGGTTAATACATTATATAAATTTCAGGTGTAATTCTATGACGCATCATTAGTATATTGGATTATGTGTTCACAACCCAACGTCTAGTTTCCTTTCATCACCATATATTTGACCTCCCAACCCCTGTTCTTGTCTTTTGTTTTTAATCATGGATAGGTTTGAGGTTTTTTAACTTTAAAAAAAAATGTTTGAGCCGAAACCGGTTTGGCTCAGTGGATAGAGCGTCGACCTGCGGACTGAAAGGTCCCGGGTTCGATTCCGGTCAAGGGCATGTGCCTGGGTTGCGGGCACATCCCCGGTGGGAGATGTACAGGAGGCAGCTGATCGATGTTTCTCTCCCATCGATGTTTCTAACTCTCTATCTCTCTCCCTTCCTCTCTGTAAAAAATCAATAAAATATATTTTAAAAAATGTTTGAGATGACCACAAGTTTTTAAAACCTTTTTATCCACTAATAAAGAAATTGCATGAATAGACTTTCTAAAATTAGACTAATTTTGAATTCCTAGAATAATCCCAACTTTGGTTTTATCATTTTTACTTTGTGTTTATTTTCATGTTTGCACAGTGTGTTCCATTAGTCTCCAAGGGCAACTGGACCATCCAAAAGACCTAAACAGCCACCATAGCTACTAAATTGTATTGAGCTCTTATGAGGTGCTGAACACCAATTAATTGGCTTTACATATGTTATCTCTTTTTCTCCCCATAGCAGCCCTGTGAAGTAGCTATTATTATTATTATTATTATCCCCATTTTAAAAATGAGAAAACTAAGGCTCAGAGAGATTATATAACTTCCCAAGACGACACAGCTCCTAAGCATCAGAGCTTCAATTCTAACTAGTCTTCCAACTCTAAAGTTGGTGCTTCTACCCACTCAGGTATACTGCCTGCAGAAAAGAATTCAAACTTGCCACTTTCGGTCCCTCACGTTTGTTTCCAACAGTGTCTGAGCACAAGAGGGGGGATAGAAGCTTGGGACTTGATCAAGGAGGATGGGAGGGGACCGGGACTTCACTTCTGGTCTCAGTGTTGTTCTGGGCTGCTCTCCCTCCCTCCCAGTTCGCCCAGTATGCTGAGATCGTCAACTTCACCCTCCCCGATGGGACTCAGAGGAGTGGGCAAGTGCTTGAGGTGTCTGGGAGCAAGGCAATTGTTCAGGTAAGTGGTGCCAATGAGATGCTGGCTGGTTGAATAAATGAATAAACCCACAAAGGTCCCACATTATCTGGTAAACTCCAAAGGCAGGAAATGCCCCATTTCCTGA